CAGTTTGAGATTATTCATAAACTAGCATGGATAAAGCTAAAAAAAAGTACTCTAAACTCTCAGTTAAATTAGAGCTATAAAATAACATTTATATTTGATCTGACTTCACAAAGAGAGCCTAGTAAAGTAATATATTTTGAACACAAAATAGGCATGCTATTCAATCTTACTATGCTAATAAATTTTACAACCACAGTCACAATAAAGTGTGCTAATAAACTTTGCGAAGTGGAGGCTAGATGAGGACACAAGAAGTCTAATTTTGCAAATCTCCCGGTGAGAGAGCAGTCAGGCTCTTGGCTAATGCTTAGAAGGTCAAATCCCATAGTGTTATAAATTTAACAGGGTGAAATATAGCTGAGATAACTTAGTACAATAAATAAGGCACAGTGAAAAATACACAGCTCTGCTAATACGTTTACATACCCCTTGCAGGGTATTAACATATGCAAAATGTAAATAATTTTAACAAAATGAGAAGGATCATAAAAAATGGATGTTATTTTTTAGTACTGTCCTGAATAAGCTATTTCACATAACAGATGTTTCCAAATACAGTACTCCACAAGACAAAATAATAACTAAATTTATAAAAAAGGACCCAGTTCATAAGTTTACATACCCTGTAATCTTATTACTGTGTGTCATTACCTGGATGATCGACTACAACTGTTTTTGCGTTTTGTGATATCTGTTCATGAGCCCCTGAGCAGTTCAACTGCCCACTGTTCTTCAGAAAAATTGTCTAGGTCCTGAACACTCTTTGGTTTCCCAGCATCTCCTGCATATCTGAACCCTTTCCAACAGTGACTGTATGATTCTGAGATCCATCTTTTCACAATGAGGACAATTGAGGGACTCACATCCAACTATTTCAAAAAGTGAAATAATTTACTGATGCTCAAGAACACAATGCATTAAGAGCTGGGGGTGTAAACTTTTTGAATTGGAGGATCGGGGTAAATTGTACTTATTTTGTCTTCTGGGAAACATGTATTTTATGTACTTTCTGAGAGCAGTACTAAATGAAAAAATATGATCTTTAAACAAAAAAATAATAATGTACACATCATCCTGTTCAAAAGTTTACACCCTCTGGACAGGGGTGTAAATTTCGTCTAACAGTAGGGGGGGGACAATAAACAAAATTTCTCAAAAGCAATTTTTGAAGGGGACACAAATAATACAGCTAAAATTGTACTTGTAAGGAAAAGTTTACACAGCCTTACTACTATTAGTGTAACAGGGAGACCGTGCCAAATTAGACAACTTCAAGCTGTTATGGTCGCACTGAGACAGCGCTCGTGTTCGTTGTAGACATTACTATCTGTCAGGCAGGAAACGTTATTATTGCTAACATAGCAGACTCATCGAAAAATACATTGGCATCATCTGTATTAAAGAGAAAAGAATCACTTCATCCAATATTTAAGTGAATAAAATAGCCTTGACAGCCTTGGAGTTCCACAACTATTGACTTTGTTCTCTCTCACCGGACTGTGTGTGTTGTGCAGGTGATGCAGGGTTGCCAGGTTTTCGCAATAAAACCCACCCAGTTGCTACTCAATACTAGCCCAAAACTAGTCCAATCGCGAGGGGTTCCCGGTAAAAAATTTTTTTTTTTCATTTTTCGACGGGGTTCCTCCGGCAAAATTTGCATGCATTGTTGTGGTCGCTTCAACCCGCGGACATGAAAAACAACCCGCGGCAACAGTGTTAAAGTAGCCAATTTGTGCTGTAAAACCATGGACTTGGCAACACTGTGGTGATGTAAAAGAGGAAAGCAGGCATTTGGACCAAAGCACTGTGAGGCAAGGAAGGGGGAGACTCAAAATATTTCTAAACTTAAAACGCATTATTGCCCCGTTTACGTTTGTGTTGTTTTACTACTTACAAAGTTATTTAAAGTATAAAACGTTATTTACAATACACAGCGTGGTTTATAATCATATTTTTAGGGGGGACAACCCTCAGGGGTCCTGTCCCCCCCCGACCCCCCGGGATTTCCGTCTATGCCTCTGGATGTAAACGACACACAGATTCATGGGTATGTACATTTTGAACAGGATCATTTTTTTAATTAAATTATTATTTTGCCTTGTGGCGTATATGTAAAAAACTGTTATGTGTATTCGCTTATTCAGGACAGTACTAAATAAAAAAAACATGATCCCACTTATTTAGTTAAAAGTATTAACATTTTGCATATTCTGCAAGTGGTATGTAAACATATGAGCAGAATATGAAATATGAGCAGAAAATGTATAAATAAATAAAAAGAGACAAATCATTGAAGTCAGTTGATATAATTATTGTGACGCACCTGAAACTCCTCTGCGATTTTGGGGCCATCCAGAAACAGGCGAGTGTTAAGGCAGTCCACTGGGCCAAAGTTTGATGTGAACTCTTTGAACTCCTGGAAGACTTTAGGGTACATGGCTGCCGACATCACATCTTCAGGAGTTATTTCATTACCATGTGCCATTCGCAGATCAGACTCAAGAGCCTCGAAGTCCATCGGTGGAAGTGAAGCCCCTGGACGACCTTCGATACGAGGCAATGCCTTGAGCACCTTTGAGAAATATCAAACTTGTTACACTCCCAGAATTAAAAAAAAAAAACTATCTTTAGGGGTACAGCAGCTTGTCACTGGGGCAGTGCCTTTAAAATAAATCTTTGTATTTTATTTACCCCTAAATGGTTCATAGTAGAGTACATATTACTACTTTTAGGGGTAGATAAGGTACAAAATTGTCTCTTTAAAGATACTACCTCAGTGACATACTGTTGTATACCTAAGGGTACAATATTTTTTGCATTTTGTCCTTTTTTTTTGACAGCATATGGGCATAAACTCTGGTTAAACAATCAGATTACCAGCAGAACACAACTACACTAACCCTTAAAGAGTTCACCTAAATTGAAATATTTGTTATTATACAAACCCTCCCTAGATCTTCTTGACATGTTCATTAGAATTACTGAAGAAGCAGCAATGTCTGACTTGGGGAGCAATTGTCTTTTTTTCAACTAAATTTAGAGCTCGACACAGTCACTTTCCTGATTCACTGCAGTACACACTACAAAGTATTCAAAACCTGCACGCCTCACGCAGGAACGTGCTCATTCGGTGTTGAACGGCTTGAATACATTCAAGAGCAGGATGGTGGTCCCACTGAAACAGT